TTTATGCAGCTAAACTCTGGGAGAGCGGCAGGGAGAGGAAGCCTGGATAACCCAAAGGATTAATTTACCGAGCAGCAGTGCAGCGTGGGCACCCGCCACGTGAAATCACAGGCACGCAAAAAATACCCCCAGCCCACCTCTCCATCCATCTCTGTCCCTCAAGCACAAAATTTTGGACCTTTTCCCCCGCCAAGGGCCATCACAGCAGCAGAGGCGGAGACCAAAGTGAGGAGCCGGCGAGCGGTTCTGCTCTCGTAGGCAAATCCGTGGGAAAAGGGCATGTCGTCCAATTTGTTCGGGGAAACAATGGCAATGTTTGACATGTCATCAGGATTGATGGAGCAGAAATTTACATGGGAGAATTCCGTTTTTAAACAGCTCCGCGGAGCTTTGCCGGTAATGGTTTCGACATTCATCATCCGTCGAGCCCCGTTCGGCGACTCCTTAAACTGCCTGAGATTAACTCGACTCGCGGCAGCTTCAGGCGAGCGCGGCAGGACGAGCGGGGAAGAGCTTAAAGAGCTAAAAAAAGCTTTTTTGGGCCCCCCCCAATCTGTCAGACAGGGCTGAGAAGCCAGAGGTTGGCTGCAGGGGTGAGCGAAAGACGATTCATTGATGCCTGGATTAGACAGGCACCAAAGGAGCCAAATCCTTCCCACTTTTCCACCCTTGTGGGGTTGCCAGAGCGAGTCCCAGCTCTGTTTGCTCTCGTTCCCCCTCTTTGTCTTCCCTTCCTCTCCCTTGCACGCAGAAACCACAAAATAAAAATGGATGGGGGAGCAAATTCCTTCGGCCAGAAGTTCTCCGCTTAAGCCAAAAAAGCAACTACCCAACGTCAAAAAGCTGTCGGGATACCGGAGTAACCGGCCAGGCAGCTGGGACACCAAGGCTCTGCCACACCAGTGAGATACCTGGGGCTCGGTAAACCACAGGAGAAAGCAAACAGAAAGAGGTTTCCCATCTGCTTTCTACTTTTTTTCCTGGTTTTCTAGGAAAATGAGACAGATGTGGTCACTCCTTGGGGATGACTGGGCTACCAGAAGCTGCTCAGATCATGGTTTTAAAAAAAAAAAAAAGACCCCATCATTGTACTGATTTTTGGAACCACCAGAGCCTCTATGTGTTAAACAGCAAGCTTCCCTTCTGAAACACAACCTGTTGTAATCTTCAGGTCCCAGGGGAATAACAGCTAACGTCTCTGGTGTCCACCTGGATTGCGATTCAATTTGTGGTTTTCGGGAGGGGAACGCGAAGAGCTAAGCGCTTCCACGAGAAGTAATCGCCAGGCTGCAAAACTGGATCAAGAAAATAGACGGAAAACCTACATAAAGTCATCACAGATGGAAAACAGCTCTTTCGCCAGCACAGCCT